GAGGTATGCTCCACTTTGAAGTGTGACATAAATTATTTACAGTCCTCTTATATGGCAAATTTCTTCATTCTCACCTATTTATTTAATCATTTATGTCAGTATGGACTCATGAACATTTATTTTATACTCTGTGTTATAATCTAATAAAAGGTTATTTGTTTGCCTAAATTGTTTTGAGTTTAGCCATTGAGAACTTTTTCCACTGGTTCTTCTGTTCCTTTGCCATACCCCCATCATGTTTTTTTAAGCACTTCAAAATGTTCTTTCCCTGTCGCATTCCTAGAATCAGCATTTCTCCGAGGAACCCTGACCCATGTGCTTTTTTGATTTGTCTAGAAGGTGACAGCTACCTCTTCGAGGGGCCTCCTGGGACCCTCAAAATACTAACTTTTGTACTCTGTGTAGCCTGTATTTTAAGGCAGAACATTTGAAGTATGCTGCCAAAATATGTTGAAAATCTATGCAGTCATTTTTACATTATGTACTAGCAAATAATCTATAATTTCTGGAATTTTCCATTTTCTTCAGTGATATTGCTGTTTGATTTGTAGTTGTCTTTCTTTGCTAGGTTTCAGAATCAGGGTTGTACCATCTTTAAAAAAAATTTTTTTAAATATAATTTTATTTTTTGAGACAGGGTCTTGCTCTGTTGCCCAGGCTAGAGTACAGTGGTGCAGTCTTGGCTCAGTGCAATCTCCATCTCCCTGGGTTCAAGTGATTCTCCTGCTTCAGCCTCCCAAGTAGCTGGGATTATAGTCATGCTCCACTACACCTGACTAGTTTTTGTATTTTTAGTAGAGATAGGGTTTCACCATGTTGGCCAGGCTGGTCTCGAACTCCTGTCCTCAAGTGATCTGCCTACCTTGGCTTCTCAAAGTTCTGGGATTACAGGCATGAGCCACCGCATCTGGCCTGTACCATCTTTATGAAGTGAATTATGAAGCTTCCCAACCTTTTTTAATTTTATAGAACAGTTGAAATATTACAACAATATACTTAAGTTCTTCGATTGAAGCTATTTTTAAATCACAGATAGTAAATGTTTACTGTATAAAATTTCAAAAATCCCAATAACAGAAAAAAGAACAGAAAGTTCAGCCATAATTCTGTCATTCCAGATTCATATTTTTAAGAACATATTAAATGTTGCCTATTTTTCATAATAATGGTAACAATCACAACCAACAGTTGTTGAGCTCTGTTGTGTGTTGAAAAATCTCTGAACTGAGAGTCAGAAAACCTAGATCCTAATTCATGTTACTCACCTCACATTTTGTGGGCCTGTCTTCAATCGTAGAATTGACATCAGATGTCCCTACTGGTTCTAAGTTTGCTTATTTTATTTTGCACAAAAATAATCTCATTGCTTTATATGAAGGACGGCACCAGATCTCACTTCTTAAATCACACTTTTCCTCTAGTCCTCTGTGCCTCATGCTAGCCTGTGATACCTTCATCGCTCCCTTGTACCCCTTCTGCTGACTTGTGTCTGCCTGCTAGACTCTGCACTCCACCTGCTGGCTGTTGAGGCTCAATGGTGGTGTCTCAGATGTGCCGTGTACAGCTAGTGCTCGATTTACGACCACGGTCGGGATGCGGAATGGTCGTAACACGATTTGGTCGTAAGTTGAGTAGGCTGTGTGTACAGTTGAAATGGTGCACGCAGAGATGGTAGTGCTGCCGGAAGCTGGTCCGCACTGTCGTACGCCCAGCTGGGCAACGTTTGCGCTGCCAGACGCGGAGCAGTCGTGGCTAGCGATTGTGGTCGTAAAGTCGGATCGTAGGTTGCGTGGGTTGTAAGTCGATTAATACCTGTAGTTTAAAGGTAAACATAGGTTAAACAGATGGCCTAAAGCACATGCAGTCCAGCATGGTTAAAGCAATATTGTGAAAGTAGACAACTGTTAAAAACTATTATTGGACATATTCAAATTTTTAATTCACAAAAAATTTTGATAGTCATAAAAGTAGTTTAGGATTAAAAGCAACATATTTATGTATAACTTCAAAAGTGTCTCTTTTATTAATCTCATTTCTGACAAAAATTCTGGAATTAAGTGTTCCTGAGGAAACTGAGTCTTGGGGAGATAAAATGATTTGTATGAGGTAACATATTAAATGGCAAATCTACAAATCAAACCAATTCTTGTCTTATATGTAATACCAGCATTCTTTAACTAACCACATCATACTTGCATATAGAGAAAATATTTCACAAGTTTAGACATTTCCCAATTTATGTAGCTCCTTTTGTGTTAAAATATAGGCATTTAAATATATGTGTGTGTGTGTGTGTGTGTGTGTATAACCAAAACCTCCTTTGATTTGAAATGTCAGCATTATTTCGGGGATAATGTTAATAGTATTATATTGATTCTTTGAAATGTATCAATTGAGGGCAAAATATCTAAGTATTTTGAATTTTGATAAAAGACAGTGAATGCCACTCAGCCTTTGAAGTATGAGCCCAGGTTAAAGACTACGATGTTGCAATGCCTTTGAGTGCTACCAGGTGGCGTGAGTGCACCACACAACTGTATCTGAAATATTTATTATTTTTGGCATAAACTTTGTATAGTTTCTGAACCTTAAACTGTTAATGGAGTTTTAAATGAATGTGAATTTGAGCTTACATTACATTATAGTAATGATCAGCATTACTTCCTCTTTTTGGACAACTTATATAAAAAGCTAGAATACTTAAGTTTTTGAAACTTTTAAATTCATTGTTAAGCATTATTATGATTTCATTGAAGGGTGTTTTAAAAGGCAAGATCAGGACATTCTCACTATCCTAATGTAAAAACGAATCATTTTTCTCTCCTTACTCCTTCTGTATACATGCATATGTACATATATTTGTATATTCATAATCATAATAAAGGTATATTTTATTTTTTGTAAAAAATTCTTCATATTGTTTTTAATCAGAGTATAAAATGGCTTATTTTACCTATCAAGTCAGTAACCTGGTAGTTGATGTGTTCTCTTTCTAGAAAACTGGTGATTCACATTGTCTAACAACATGTAAACATTTTATTGGATTGAGAGTGAATATTCAGTATTCATATTACTTGAGTTCTTTTTTTTCTTTTCTTTTTTTTTTTTTTTTTTTTTTGATGGAGTCTCATGGCGCGATCTGGGCTCACTGCATCCTCTGCCTTCTGGGTTCAAGAGATTCTCCTGCCTTAGCCTCCCAAAGCAGCTGGGACTACAGGTGCCTACCACCATACCCAGCTAATTTTTGTATTTTTAGTAGAAATGGGGTTTCACCATGTTGGCCAGGCAGGATGGTCTCAGATCTCTTGACCTCATGTTCCACCCGCCTCAGCCTCCCAAAGGGCTGGGATTACAGGCATGAGGAGTTCTTTTTAAGAGTACATTTATAGCCGGGCGCGGTGGCTCAAGCCTGTAATCCCAGCACTTTGGGAGGCTGAGGCGGGTGGATCACAAGGTCGAGAGATCGAGACCAACCTGGTCAACATGGTGAAACCCCGTCTCTACTAAAAATACAAAAAATTAGCTGGGCATGGTGGCACGTGCCTGTAATCCCAGCTACTCAGGAGGCTAAGGCAGGAGAATTGCCTGAACCCAGGAGGCGGAGGTTGCGGTGAGCCGAGATCGCGCCATTGCACTCCAGCCTGGGTAACGAGTGAAACTCCGTCTCAAAAAAAAAAAAAAAAAAAAGAGTACATTTATATTTATCTACTTTCTCTAGTTCAAAAACGAAATACAAATACAAAAATTCAAGGTGCTTTAAAAAAACAATATATCCTCCCTTTTGAAAATTTATGTGTTCACTTAGCAAATACTTGTTGCATGCATTTTAAGAGTTAGGCCAGTGCCAAGAAGGAGATAGACATCATTCTTGCTCTCAAGGGTTTCAATTCAGTGGGGGAAAAAAATGGGAAAATAGATAGATTACTATACTATGAAGTCTTGAGGGAAGTGTAGGATTATTGAAGCTACAGAAAACCAAATGGATTTTAAAATTCTATTTAGCTGTTTTTCTTCTTCAGATAGTTACAGCTCTTTTTTATTCTTAATACTCTCCATGGAAGAATAATCTATACCTTATTTAATTGAATTCTGGTGTCTCACCTAACCTATCTTCTTGTATCAAACATATTCATCTCTAGACACCTTTAGTCCATGCCCTTATTCTCTGCAAATCAAAAAGTATATTCATTTGGTGTAGCACTTCCCAGTATATGTCTAAGGAAGACTAGTGTTGTTAACTGTCCCTTGAAAAGTGGAATCTGAGGTGAAATAAATTTGAGAATCATTACATATCAACACTGCATTTTGAAATTTCAAGATGCTTATTAGTATATTATCTGTTCTAAGAAATACTACCTTAAAAAAAAATTGACCTCAGCATTTCCTAAACATTTTCAACAGAAAGAGCCTTTTAAAAAAATTTTTCTTAACCTATGGGACTAGTGTTAACATTTCGAGAAACATTGAGCTAAATTTTTTCAAGTGTTTTGATCCTTCTCTGGTACTGTATTCCAGCTTCCATGAGATGTCTGTAGCTTTTTTAAAAAAGCTTGTTGCGGTGATACAAGTCTCATAATTGCATGGTAGAACTTGCTGTAATGATACAAGTCTCATAATTACATGACAGAAATTTCTTAAAGCCCTTATGTTTTATCTATTTATTTCTATATTCCAACTTTACTAACACTAATTGAGTTTAATTCTATTAGTGCTGCTCATAAGCACCATAATTTAATTTATTTAGCCGACATGTCATTAGTTCTTTCAGTGAAGACTCTCATGGCCAGAACTTTCCAAGAACTTCAAACAGTATGTTCCCTTTCCCCCTACTTTTTTTCTTTCCATGAGTAAGATCAGGGTTTATAATGTGTCCCAACGGCTTGCTCTGTATAGCTCCTTTTTAGTGGATTGAATGTTAATAGGAATAACATTGCTACTTTTTTTTTCACTGAACAAAATATATGAAATTATTTTCTCTAATAAGTTTTCTTATTTTTAAGGTAAAGCTTTCCAGTTTGAATTTAGATGACCACGCAAAGAAGAAATTAATTAAGCTTGTAGGAGAGCGATACTGCAAGACCACCGACGTGCTTACCATCAAAACAGATAGGTAAGGGGAAAACTGCTCGGCCGACTAGTCACATGCGTTTCTTTATTGTCCTCCAGTTCCTTTGCAGTCCTTTTTAAAGAAATTATATTGAAGATGGGGGAGAGGATAGCCTTTTCTTACTAAGCTGAGTTCTCTAATTCATATTTTTAATATCCTCACACTAGCCTACTATTGCTGTGATCTTTATGCAGAGGCATGCTTAGCTAATTTAATGTTATTTTTAACCTTGATTTTAATATATCCATGTATATAAGACTCAAGAGAGATACCAGAAGAAAAAAGTGTGATTTGCTAGTGATTAATGCTTAAACAGGCTTTTACACATTCAAATCATATAAAAATCTTATAGTTCAGAAGTATTATTAATGATCTATGTGGAAATTGGTCAAGGCACATTTCTAAATAGTCAAAATTTCAGAGCCAGGACAGATGCTTGTAAAGGCAGTATTAAATTTATAATATATGAATTTATAAATCGGGTCATTTTTATTTGAAGTAAAGAAAGGTTATTGGTGCGTTTTTACTAAATGGCTATTTTATTTTTAGTTTATTTTATTTTTATTTTTATTTTTATTTTAGTTATTATACTTTAGTTGTTTTTAATTTATGACAAAGTATAAAAGACCCACTTTTAGAGATAAATAAGTGGGTCGATCTGCTTTCTTCCTGCCCATCCCAGTTTGAAAGCATTTGGAGGTGTCAATATTGATTAGGTCTCAGGATTTGCAGCGGTGGGAAGAAGGAGCCTGACACTCATGCAGAGATTGCAGCAGTGTGGAGGCAGAAAAAGCTTGGGACCATGGTTTGTGATTATTAACATATGGGAGAAAGATTTGAAATACATTAGGAATAGTCCTTTTACTCTCTTTAGATAATGTTGGCTTTTTTTAGTTCATACAACTTAAAAAGATGCCTTTAAAATGCTGTTGTTTGAAATGCCGTGAGTATCCAACAATGCTGCCTTTTTGCCTTCTTTTTTTTTTTTTTTTTTTTTTAAATTAACACAACACTTCAGTTTCCAGGCATTTTTTTTTTTCTTTAGCTACTTTTACAAGTGTTAGTGTGTGAATATTTTATGGTTAACAACTATTTAGAGTAGAGGACTTAAATGTAAGTACAGAGTAGGTAGTACAGTTGAAGTTATTTGTCGTATAATGGATTTCTTTGATATTTAAAGAAATTAGAAGTAATTGTATCCTTCTCTACATTGTTTTATTATCCTTAAAGCTTAGTGTGTCATCTCATGTATGTAGAAGTTTTACCTAGTTTTAGGTTATTAGTTCCATTTTCAATACAGCAGCAACAGCACAGCATTGTATAGTGTAACTCATTTTTAAAAGCACAGCTCTAGGAAAATCAAGATTAACATTTAGAGTAGCATCTATCATCTTTCTGTAGTTACTTATTTTTATTTATTTTTATTTATTTATTTATTTATTTTTTTGAGACGGAGTTTTGCTCTTGTTACCCAGGCTGGAGTGCAATGACGCGATCTCGGCTCACCGCAACCTCCACCTCCTGGGTTCAGGCAATTCTCCTGCCTCAGCCTCCTGAGTAGCTGGGATTACAGGCACGCGCCACCACACCCAGCTAGTTTTTTTTTTTGTATTTTTAGTAGAGACGGGGTTTCACCATGTTGACCAGGATGGTCTCGATCTCTCGACCTCGTGATCCACCTGCCTCGGCCTCCCAAAGTGCTGGGATTACAGGCTTGAGCCACCGCGCCCGGCACTTATTTTTATTTTTTATTTTTAAATTTTTTTAGAGATGGAGTCTCACTCTGTCACCTAGGCTGGAGGTCAGTTGCACAGTCATAGCTCACTGAAGCCTTGAATTCCTGGGCTTATGCAGTCTCCTGCCTCAGTTTCCCAAGTAGCTAGGACTACAGGTGTGTACCACCATGCCTGGCTAAGTTTTTACTTTTTGTAGAAACAGGGTTTTGCTGTGCTGACCAAGCTGGTGTCAAACTCTGCCCTCAAACAACCCTCCCACTTTACCCTCTGGGATTACAATAAGCTACCATGCCCAGCCCTATATTTACTTTTTAGGTGAGCTCATCAGATATGTTTATGTTATCTGGCAGATTCTTGGCACGAGATGGTGAAGAGAACTTGTATTGAACACAATGATAGTAAAAGTAGTGAGCCAGGCGCTGTGGCTCACACCTGTAATCTCAGCACTTTGGGAGGCCGAGGCAGGTGGATCACCTGAGGTCGGGAGTTGGAGAACAGCCTGACCAGCATGGAGAAACTCTGTCTGTACTAAAAATAGAAAAATTAACCAGGTGTGGTGGCACATACCTGTAATCCCAGCCACTTGGGAGGTTGAGACAGGAGAATCACTTAAACCCGGGAGGCTGAGGTTGCGGTGAGCCCAGATGGCACCATTGGCCCACCAGTCTGGGCAACAAGAGTGATACTCCATCTCAAAAGCAGTGTGGTGGGGGGAGTGTAAAGCTATTATTGTATACATTGTAACTCCATTACTAATGAAAACAAAGAGATACTCGTAATTAAGTTAAAATAACACCAGTATTTAGCTTCTTCAAGTAATGAACTACAAAGACTGTTTTTCTTCCAAAAACAGTTTTCCTAAAAGCAGAGAAGGAATACCTGAAAACATTATCTTCTGTATTTAGTATATTGTGTATTTTGCAAATCATTCTATATACTGAGTTTTTAGAATTTTCACTTCTCCTTCTTTCTCCTTAATAGGTGTCCTTTAAAGAGGCAGAATTATGATTATGCAATGTATCTACTAACAGTGTTATACCATGAGTCTTGGGTAAGTGTGTGTGCATAGTTAATGATTTTGTCAGTGTAATTTAGATGATGTTAACCTTTGAAAATGCTGTGTGGCAAATACTCAATTGAGTATTTTATGAACTACTAAATAATCTAAGTCTTTATGAAATGTCATAGGTAGCTTCTACTGATTTTAAAAGTGAAGATCTTGAAATAGATTATTCAGTTCATCTCAGGACCGTGCTGAAATCATATTCATAAAATGCCTTGAAACTTTAGAGTTTTTGACTTTGTTTTTTTGTTTGACTTTGGGTGAAAGTTGTCAGCTATAAAGAGAATAATAATTATCTGTATAATTTGAGAATTTACAATTCATCCTCTTTTTAAATAAACTGCAGAACAAAACTTTATAGAAAGGTATTTTATGTTTATTGAAATTTTTAGTTAACATGTAACATTTTGTGTGAACATTTGACTCTTGTACATTAGGGAGAGCTAAGGCAATTAATTATGGCTTGAGTATTCCTTATCCAAAATGCTTGGGATCAGAAGTGTTTCAGATTTTAGATTTTTTCAGGTTTTGGAATATTTGCATATGTATAATGAGATATCTTGGGGATGGGACCCATGTTTAAACAGGAAATTCACTTATGTTTCATATATACTTTTTACACATAACCTAAAGGTAATTTTATACAATATTTTCAATAATTGTGTGCATGAAACAAAATTTTGACTGTACTCCATCACATGAGATTGGGTGCAAATTTTCCGTTTGTGGAGTCATATCAGTGTTCAAAAAGTTTTGGATTTTCAAGCATTTCCGATTTTGGATTTTCAGATTAGTAATGCTAAACCTGTGTTTAAATAATATTAAAAATAATCGAGTCTGAACTTACAGAGTTTTCATATAAGTATGTACATTTATAAGGAAGATTTTGCTATGCTTGAGCAACAGCTCATCTGATTTGAAGTTGGTAGCCAGTATGTTTAGGTAACTTACAGTTTGAAATATTAATTTTTAAAGTGAAAATAATTTTAGCTATGCATTTAAATTAAATTTTTTTGTGCCTTACCCAACATGGGGCACTCAATAGCATTTCATACTAGGAAAATTCAAAGTAATAATGATAGCTGAAGAAGGGGGTCATGCTCTTTAGAAAGGTCATGCTCTTTCATGTCAGTGTCTATAGAAACAGTGAAGAAAAGGAAAATGAAGTAAAGAAAAATCTAAAACATAAAAGATTTCATATGAAAGAGGGCTTACATTTGTTTTTAATGACTTAGAGATATAGCAAGATAGAAACAATAGTAAGAGACAGACTTCAATTCTGTGAGAACTTTTTTTTTTTTTTTTTGAGACAGTCTCGGTCTATCACCCAGGTTGGAGTGCAGTGGCACCACCTCAGCTCACTGCAGCTTTCACTTTCTGGGTTCACGGGGTTACGGACGTGTGCCATAACACCGAACTCTTTTTGTTTTTTGTATTTTTAGTAGAGGATTTCACCATGCTGCCCAGGCTGGTCTCAAACTCATGGCCTCGAGTGATCTTCCTGCCTCAGACTCCCAGAGGAGAACTTAAAAAACAACAAAAAAAATGGGTCTCACTCCGTCGCCCAAATCGGAGTGCAGTGATGCGATGTTGGCTCACGTCAACCTCCATCTCCCAGGCTCAAGCAATTCTGCCTCAGCCTCCCAAGTAGCTGGGATTATAGGCACGCACCACTACTGCCTGGCTAATTTTTGCGTTTGTAGTAGAGACAAGATTTTGCCATGTTGGCCAGGCCGGTCTTGAACTCCTGACCTCAAGAGATCCACCTGAGTTGGCCTCCCAAAATGCTAGGATTACAGGCGTGAGCTACCACGCCCAGCCCCCCCAAAGGGAAACTTTCTAAAAGAGCCATCAGAAGATGCAGTGGACTACTTTGATAGGTAGAAAACATTCCATCCAGTACTCACCTGGTGAAGATAGGCAAAAAAAACCCCAAAACAAACCAAAAAAACCATATTCCTTGAATAGGTAAATCCTATGGCCTTTGAAACCTCCTTTCAGCCCTGAGTTACTGTGATTCTGTGAATACATGCTGCTGTTTTCGAAACTGCTCATGGCTTTTCCTTTATATTAAGATAAAAGAGTTTCAACACCAGAGGATGAATGGAAAGTGAAAGAAAAAAATTTTGTTGTGAGATTAGTAAAAGACAAAAAGTTAGCCGGTAAGCTCTTTTCCTTTTTACAGTATTTCTATTATCACAGTTTATCTGGATTTTCTAGTTCCTGGCTTCAGGAGCAACTTCAGAATAGCAGTTAATCTCTCTTTCCTGCACAATTGATTTTAGGAATGTCGTTGGCTTAAGATAATTAAGTTTCCTTTTGAACCAGCAACATGGCTGAATTAGCTACAGCTTTATGGCTGCTGCTGAAAGAGTTAATAATGAACAAGAAATACAGCCAGTTTTGACTCTTATTTTGCAAACATCTTATGAAATGAATTTGCCCAGAAGGAAATGATAGGTATAAATTCAATGGAAGTTGATTTATGGGATTCTTTCTGTGGTTCTGTGACATAGAATCCAAACAGGGTTGCATTCTGGATTCACACAGAAGCCTTTGGTCTTTAATGCTCGTTACTTTGATGCCAGGATAAGTAGCCACATACAACTGTCCAAACAGGTATACTTGAAGACTTCCTATATTAACATTGGTTCTTGGTCCTTTCTAAACAAGTACCGTCAGTGAAGAAGCTTTTTAATACAGATGAGCCATGAGATTTTGTGGAGCTGCTACAACAGAATTTCTACTGAATTGAAATATATTTTCTGTTACCAACATGGAATTCATACTTGAAATTGATGTTATCGCCCGTTTTTTAATCAAATAGTTAGAGAGCCTCTTTTTAATCCATTGCTTGATTTGGTATAAGTTAGCTTCTGAGCGTTTAATACACGAATATATACTTCTCTTGGTTTTTTGTTTTGTTTTGTTTTGTTTTTTAGAGAGAGGGTCTTGCTTTGTTGCCCAGGCCAGAGTGCAGTGATACGATCATGGCTCACTGCAGCCTCCCAGGTTCAAGTGACCCTTCCATCTCAGCCTCCTCAGTAGCTGGGACTACAGGTGCACGCTACCACGCCCAGCTAATTGTATTTTTTTGTAGAGACAGGATTTTTACTGTGTTGCTCAGGTTGGTGTCGAATTCCTGGGCTGGAGCAATCCACCTGCCTTGCCTCCCAGAGTGTTGTGATTACAGACATGAGCCACTGCACCCTGCCTTCCCTTGGCTTTTTAAGCTTCCCCTAGAGCTTACCTCAAGTAACACTAAGGGGAAAGTAGCTGGTACTTTTATGTAGCTTGTAGTACTGAAATTCCTCTGGAGAAGTGATCATCTAGACTCCAGTAGAAGGATATGATTGTTGTATACTATTCAAAACAGTTTAATTATAGAAGTGTCAAAGTAGACTTCAGTAAGCATAGACATCACAAAGCATAAAAGCTTAATAATACCTCAAAGAACAATTATTTCGGTGCTGGGAGGGTGATAAGAGACACAGAGTCACTGGACCATTCATTTATCCTTCAGCAGTTTAAAGAAGCAAGGAGGCCAGGTATGGTGGCTCACACCTGTAATCTCAGCCCTTTTGGGAGGCTGAGGCGGGTGGATTGCCCAACTCAGGAGTTCAAGACCAGCCTGGGCATCATGATGAAACCCTGTCTCTACCAAAAATACAAAAAATTAGCCGGGCATGGTGGCGGGCACCCGTACTCCCAGCTACTCAAGAGGTTGAGGCATGAGAATTGCTCGAACTCAGAAGTTGGAGGTTGCAGTGAGCCAAGATTGCACCATGGCACTCCAGTGTGGGCAACAGAGCAAGACGTTGTTTGTTCTTTTTTGCATTGAACAACTGTTTAGTTCTCGTGTACAAGATATAGTACTAGGTGCCACTACCAAAATGAATGACCTTCTGCCTCAGGTACCTTGATTTCTGGAAGGAAACTGTTGGTTATAGTAATAGTCTGTTGAGCTTAATGGAAGTAGGAACATAGTGCTGTGAGAGGCACAGACAAGGGTTAACTCTCCCTGAAAACTTCACAGGAATGCTGATAGGTTTTAGAAAATGAATAGGGGTACCCCGTACAGAGTGAGTGAAGTACTTTCTAGGCCTTGTGGGTTTAAAGAGCATGCATAAGTTTGGTGTAGCCAGGGTATAGGCCAAGAAAGGAGATGAGGCCAGCAGTAAGTCAGAGACAGGCTGTCAAACTTGTCATGGTGTTTATTTGCAAAATTTTGATTTGTAACCAGAGGGCAATATTGAGCTGATACAGTATTTTACTAGTTATTTGAAAAAGTACTTCTCACTGTTTTTGTTTTATTTGATTTTATTTGTGGGGCTTTTCTGTGTGTATGTGTTTTACTATACAATTTTAGAGGTTAATTTTTTCTTTGGAGACTGAGTTTTGCTTCATCACCCAAGTTGGAGTACAGTAGTAGCACAATCATAGTTCACTGCATGCAGCCTCTACCTCCAACGCTCAAATGATCCTCCCACCTCAGCCTCCCTAGTAGCTTAGACCACAGGCCAGCAAATGTCACCATGCAGAGCTAACTTTTTTATTTTTTTTGTGGAGATGAAGTCTGGCTATGTTGACTACACTGGTTCTCGAACTCCTGGGCTCAGGTGATCCTCCTGCCTCTGTCTCCCAAACTGCTGGAATTACAGGTATGAGCCACTGTACCTGGCCTCCTCTCACTGTTTCACTGTTCATGAAAGAGTAAACCATCCTGTGTCATATGTCAAGTGCACTTTCATTAAAAACGGCAAATATTGGCTGGGCACAGTGGCTCACGTCTGTAATCCCAGCACTTTGGGAGGCTGAGGCGAGTGGATCACCTGAGGTCAGGAGTTTGAGATCAGCCTGGCCAACGTGGTGAACCCTGTCTCTCTACTAAAAATACGGAAATTAGCCGGGTGTGGTGGTGGGCACCTATAATCTCAGCTACTTGGGAGGCTGAGGCAGGAGAATGACTTGAATCCAGGAGGCCGAGG